AGGGCCTGTTAACAGAGAACTTTAGGGAATTGGATTGGAAAGTCGAAGAAAAGCAACACAAAGCGTTTTCTGAGGTTATTTTTTCGTTTTTACGATTTTCCTTGATGACGTCGCCATTCTCGAAAGCAAACTAGGTAAAATTCCTAAACCATACCATAATTCGGGCCGGCCCGCTCGCTCGTCAAATTAGCCGTCATCGGGTCGTGGTTGAAGGTGAAGCACGTGCCGTAGATCGGGTCAAGATGGTTTGAAAAATCGCTAAAAACATGAGGAAAAGGTGAAAATTGTTAAATTTTACATTTTAAAAATTATATTATATTATTGGGTGGTGAAAAATGTTGAAAAACGATACTTATTAATGTCGCAATCGCGTCCGTTGAACGAGCAGCGGGTGATGAACTCAGATTTCGTGTAGCTCATCTACAAAAAAAATCAATAAATAGAGAGGGGTACTGTAGAAAGGGCACCAAATAGAAATTAGCATTACCTGTGCCTTTTCCAGCGGGGTCAGCTTGTCGAGGACGAAGATGACGTTTTCCTTCGCTTGCGTGTTTAGGGCTACCGGATCGTTCGCCTGAAAAGGCTGGTTTCCTCAATGATCTCTGCTAGCCTGCCCTCGCTTACCAAATGATCTCTGCTAGCCTGCCCTGCTTACCACATAATTATAAGCGCGCTCCGTCTCCTCCTTCTTCTTCTGCAGCGGCGACATGGTAGTCGTGGTCTGCAGGGCCCAAAACGGGATCACACGATCTTCTAAAAAATCGATTTTACAACATTCGGATATCGATTTTGACTTCAACGTCCCTTTAAAACGCACCAATGGCCGTTCCATTGCCCGGATCGATGCGTACACACATGCGTATCGGCATCGCGCACAGGCAGTCGACCGATCCGGTCCCGTCGGTGTACTCGCAGTTTCCGAACGTCACGCAACTAAAGACGCCGTTTTTTGAGGGCAATCTTGCAGAGAATCCTTGGGATTTCTCCCCCACCTGGTACATTTGTTCTCCTTCCATTCCGTCGGCAAGTAGCACGGCCACACGACCCCGTTCTTTTTGTTGTAGAAGCAGAGGCATGTGCTGCGATTTGTGTCCTGAAACGGGATGACTGAATGGTAAAGCTATTGATTTAAAGGCAAAAGACCCGGGTTCGAGTCCCCCGCCGGGGCGGAAGACCCGAAACTTTTGCTTTTTGCTTTGCGTGTTGCGTGTCGCCGTCTCAACAGAATTTTTTGAAAATCCATCACCTAAAAATTATATCCTTGCCTTGACAGTCCCTTTAAGAAGCCTGACGGAGTACGTTAAAGATACGGAAGGCTACGATACCGTACTTTATCTGGGACGGCTGTCCACTCCTCGTTCAATTTCTCGCAATTCGTATACACCGCCAGCAACCCGTCGTAATTTGAGAGTATCTTCTCGTACACCCTTCGATTGTGCCGTCGGACTCGCACCTAAAAATTGTTGAAAATTCCATTTTTTTTATGGTTTTATTGATATTTATTTTTTATATCATCAAATCTATGAAATTTGGCTTGTTTTTCTATTTTTTTTTTGAAAAGAAACCTTTCCCGTATTTTCCTGATCCTTCTCAGACTTCGAAATTTTCGTCGGCACCTCAATTTCGAAGCATCTAAAAGTTTCCGAATTTTCTGAAAGTAATTCCCCCTACTTTTCAGTCCCATTATGGCAGATGCAGTCGTTTTGGGCGGAAAATCCGGTGTCGCGCGTACACCGGCCCCACCTAAATTATTTTTAGTCGTTTTGAAAGCTAGGAATCAAAGAGAAATTAGAAAAAATACGCACCAATCGCACATGCCACAACCGGCCACGCTCCACTCCTCATAACGCCCGCAGTACGACGAGATGCCGATCGGTTCTGAAGTTTAGGGTCGTAGAAGCGAGGGGTTAGGCTTAGGTTTAAGAGGCTTCGGCTCAGGCTTAGGCCTAGGCTCAGGCTTCGGCTTAGCTAACATGTAGAGGTTGTCAGGTCACAAGCTCCAAACCGGCTGAAAATTGGTGGAAAAATCAAATAAAATACGGGGAACGCGATGCGATAAAAATTATCTGCTAATGGGCACTTTTGTTTAATAAACTTTTCATTTTAAGTAAGAAAAATGAAGGTAAAATGGACTTTCAGCGGATTAATCGGGTTGTCGGCCTCGGAATAAATGTTTCGATCGAATTGCCACGGAAACTACGACACTAGGTACCTTCCCACACCCGGAAAAAAAATTATTTGAAAAAATTTTTTTGCACGAAAATTTTGACGACCTATCGCATAGCTTTGGCCGCTAGGTGGGTTAGCAGCTGCTTAAAATAGTTAGTCCTGACCCCAGGTGTTTAAAACCAGAGCCCATAGATTCCAGATTCCGATAATGACTGCCTCTTTACAATACCTGTACAAAAAGTAATCTGTATTAACTATCCTGTCGATCTTCATGGAGTCGGAATAGGTAGGTAGGCCCTTTTTTGCAAAAACTTCCAAAATTTTGTAATTTATTTTTTTTGTCGAGACGTCAGCTACTGATTAATAGGACCGAAAAACATTATAAAAACTATTCTAGACGCGCTCCCTACAAAATAAAAGCAAAAACGGCAAAAAAGCAAAAAAAAAATAAAAAATGCGGGAACCGAACCCATGACCTTTGGCCTACTATTCCCCGCACCCTACCCCTACACCACCGGGCCGACGGGCAGGGCGGCTTGGGGAGGCTTCAAGAGCTCGCGCCTGCGCGCCCCGGTTCTGGCCAGGCTCGCTGGGATTCTAGGTGGGTTTTCCATACAAAATCTTAAAATTAAAAGTTTCTTTAACAAAAGTGCCCATTAGCAGATAATTTTTATCGCATCGTGTTCCCCGTATTTTATACGATTTTTCCACCAATTTTCAGCCGGTTTGGAATTTGTGACCTGACAACCTCTACATGTAAGCATACTTAGGTGTAGGTTAAGCAAGGCCTAGGCTTAGGAAATGCTTAGGCTCAGGCTTAGGCTTGGCCCAGATTTAGCCCTTGGGTGAGCTTAGGCTTAGGCTTGCTTAGGCACAGGCATAGGCTTTGGGTTAGGCTTTGATTCAGCTTGGCTTAAGCTTGGTTTAGGCTTGGCTTAGGCTTAGGCTTAGGTTTAGGCTTAGGCTTCATTATGATTAGGCGCAGGCTTGGCTTAAATTCTAAGCTTTTAATTTGTCTTTGCTTAATTCTTGATTTTTTACGGGTTTCTCTACCCTACCCAGCCCATCGGGGGTGATGCTGACGCAGAGATCGGTGCGATTCTCTGGGGCTTCTTTGGCATGGAGCGAGATTCTGAGGGGGGCACGGCCGTCGACCTGCAATTACGGCATGTAGCTGACGGATACATCAATCACAGCTAGTGTAACGGGGGAAAATTGCTCGAATATCGCTATGCTATGCCACGGGGATGTTGCCATTTCAGGGGCAGGCTAGCAGAGATTATTGAGGAAGAGACGGAAGGCTGGCAGAGACCGTGGAGGAAGTGAGGACGGGCTAGCAAAGATCATTGATGAAGAGAGGGCAGGCTAGCAGAAGCATTGAGGTAATGATACCCACCCAAACTGTATCCCCAGTGAAGACACAAAACTCCAGATGACAAAAGCAGGGCCGTGGGTCCCGCATGGAAGCATCCCGAACGGCTACCGTATCCGCAAGACCACAGGACGCGGCACTCCAATCGACAGCTGGCCGGCAGTGCCAATATAAGTTATTTGCCGGCAAGGAGGCGCAGATCTGAAGAGGTTTTGGACTTGAGGATTTGGGTTTAAAGGGGCAGAGAAGTCTCTAGCCGGCCTAAGGCCTTATCCCGCGCATTTAAAGGGACAAAGAAGTCTCGAGATGGCCAAAAACCGTGACTTACACATTGTTGATCGCCATCTGGATCTGGATAGTAGTCGCTTGCATCGTTCTGTTTACAGTAAGTCTGAAAAAAATGGCGGTGAAGCTTGGAGAGGCATGTAGTCTGAATTTTCTAGTTTGCAGTTTTTAGTAGTCTGTAGGCTAATCTGCAAAAAATTTTTCCAGAAATTCGGGAATTTGTAGTTTGTAGTTTGTAGTCTACCAGCAAGCAAGCTCCAATCTGAGGCTGTTTTTATTTTGTAGTTCGTAGGGTAGCCTATAGTTTGTTGGCCGTAGTCTGTAGTTTGTAGCTTATGAGCGTGAGAATAACTCTTTCTCTCGTTTATAGCATATTTTTTGTGGTCTGTAGTCCGTAGCCTTCAAATCAAGCAAAAACAAACCGATGCAGCGCTAGGGGTCGAACCTTCGCCCCCGGCCTCTGGCAGAGCTCGAACGAGCCGCGGCGACTCGAGCTGCTTGGCTCGCATCGCTTTGTTGAGTGATTCTAACTAAAAAATGTTTTTTCTTGAGGATTTTCTGTAGGCTCTACCGTATCCTTGACCCCGCCGAACTCGAGGGCCTTCGACGTCTTGTAGGGGTTCAGGTTGCAGACGGTGACGGAAGGGAAATCAATATCTTTGTACTTGATCTCGACATTGACGATGATGTCATTCCTGGAATTGGAGACATAGACATCGTTTAGGTTTACATTAGGCTTAGGCTTGGCTTGGCTTAGGTTTAGGCTTAGGCTTAGGTTAGACAGGCTTTGGCCGGTGCTTAGTTTAGGCTTAGACTTAGGCCTAGGCTTAGGCTTGGGATTGGCTTCCACAATGATCACCTCCTGAACTTGACGACGATGAGCGTGGCCTGGTAGGCGAACACGGAGAAGCATACAAAAAATAGAACTAGCCACAATGCTCGTCGACATCCGCTGGAAACGTAGGCTCGAGGTAGACCGTGGGCACTGAAAAAAATTGACGTGGGCTTAGGATTAGCTTAAGCTTAGGCTTAGGTTTAGGCTTAGCTTTAGCCTTATGAATAGTCTTAGCGTAGGCCTACGCAACGCAGTTGGCTTTACCTGGTATGCTCGGCAAAATCGATGAAATCCGCGCCGATCCGCTTCCGCAGCGGTCGTTTTTTGTACATCTTTAGATACTATTTACTTACACGCTATAATTATTAGCTTTATACCGCAAATTAAACAAGGAAAACGAAACTTGTAAAATTCCAAAGACCAGAAATGCCCTAAAAGAATAAACGCATACGCCAGGCTGAGGATAATTGCATGGCAAGGGGCGGGCACCCGACCCCCGGATGCGCCAGAAAAAGCAAAAGCTTATCGAGACAAGGGGCCTTTTGGGTTTCAAATGGGCTTTAAAAAGGTCTGATATGTCTGTTGAGAGAATTCTATAATGTCTATAGAACGCCGTACACCTAATAACACCCAAATAGCGATGGCAAGAGTACTGAAGCGGAACCCCAGCCAAAAGCCCTAGCAAAAGCCGGGGCGGGGGGCACACGGAAAACATCCGGAATTATACTAGAAGTGGTATACAGGAAGGTGGGCAGTAAATAAAAATTAGAAAAGCTACGTTCTAAATGTGTTTTGAAGCCAAAATTTGCATCCGAATTCACAAAAAATCAGAAAATGTTGTTTTCAAGGTATTTGTGCGGTAAAATAAGCCCCAAAGTTAAAAAAGCAGAACTGCACCTTTTCAATTTTTTATGATATTAGCAGGGCTAAACATTAATATAACACAATTTGAAACCCAACTGTTAGCCAGAAACCGCTCTGAAATGGTCAAAGAAGCCAAAAACCCGGTTTAAAGCAGCCAGGAAGCCAAAAATTGGTTAGAATGGCGCCAAAAAGCGCGAATATTTCCAACCAAAAAATTTAAACAAAAGGCTTGTTAAATGGGCTTAGAAGTCAATATTTGATCTTTGCCACCCTGGGGTGTTTTACCCGACCGCGAGGGGGTAAAATTCTAGAGGACAAGGCACCCGAGAGGAGAAAAGGGCATTTCGGGAGGCCGAAGCCCATGCATACGGTACGACCAGCATTTCCGAAGGGCACCACACACACACGACAAGAAGAAGAAGACGGAGGAGGAGACGTGTGACGGGCTGAGGGGGATGGTGACAGCTACGCGATGCAACAGTGGACGGCCATGGCGTTGAATGTTATAATTTGCAGGGAGAGGGCATCTTCGAAGCTTAGGCTTACTTAGGCTTGGCTTGAGCTTTGCTTAGGCTTGACTTAGGGTTGGGCTTAGGATTAGGCTTAGATTTAGGATTAGGCTTATGTTTAGCGTAAGTTTAGGCTTAGACTTAGGCTTAGGAGCTTAGGCTTGAGGGTAGACAGACTTAGATTAGGCTTAGACTTAGGCATAGCTTTACCTTAGGCATAGGCTTGGCTTACGCTTAAGCTTAGGTCCAGGCTTAGGCTTCGGCATGGCTAAGCAGGGCTTAGGCTTAGGCTTGGACTTAGGCTTTACGATTTCCGTTTGTTTTTGATTACAATTTATACCTCAATACACCCGTACACAAATACACATGAGGCAGTAAGATCTCTGGCATCATCGGTCGCCTAAAACGCTTTGGAAGCTTCACGTCGTAAAAACGGCGCTAGTTTTTGGTGTCCGCTCCGAGAAGGCTCTTCGCAGCTGCTTCTGCCAGCTCGGCTTTAGTTGGCTTGGCTGGAAAAGGGTAAAAATCTGAAGGTTCGTATCGAACCTTGGTCGACTCGGTACACGAGGCGCTGGCGGATGGTTTTGGCATTTGGGCGGTTCTCATCACGGCTGTGGCAAATTCTGAAACAGTCATTTTTCGAAGTTTTACTCCCGCGATGATCTCTGCTAGCCTGCCCTTGCTTCCTGAAAGACCTCTGCTAGCCTTCCGTCGCTTTCCTCAATGATATCTGCTAGCCTGCCTTCGCTTTCCTCAATGACCTCTGCTAGCTAGCCCTGAACTTACTCCCATTCGTGATCCCCGGAGCCACCGATCGCTCGATGCGGGTGACATTCCGATTCTTTACTTTGTCACGAATCGTTCTAAATTTCAGATTTTAGAAAAATGAAGTTTACAAACTTGTTAACGACAAAATAGATGATTGGGTAGATGCCGCTATTGAGGATCCACATGAAATTGAGGCCCATGTAGGACCAGAGGCTGTCGGGGAGCAGGATCTAAATTTGGGCTTAGGCTCACTTAGGTAACAAAGTTCTTTCTTTCTGACTCTTTCTCTCTCTCTGTCTCTCTCTCACTCCCTCGCTCTCTCTCTCTCTCTCTCTCTCTCTCTCTGTCCCTCTCGCTCTCTCTCCCTCGTTCGCTCTCGCTCTCTCTCTCTCTCCCTTACTTGATAATTATGCCAAAATACGTTCAGCACCGTGCAATACACCGTAATCACCAAAGCTTGGATCAATATTTTCAGCTCCACCCGCGCATTTTTCGAGCTTTTGAAGCGGCGTCTCTATAAATTTTTCATTTTCTACAGTAACTGGTTTTTAATGGAGCTTAAGTGTGTGAAGCGGCACCCGCTGTCATGGTCCAAAACTCCTACCGTCTTGCACAGGATGATCAACACCCCGGCGTAGAAAAAGGCAGCCAAGAAGATGCCGCCCACCTCGATCACCATTTCCACTTTTTGGACGACCCATGAGTATTCTAGTGTGTAGTCGTAGTCCCAGCTGAAAAGATAGAATTTGGAGTCTGTAGTTTCAATATAAACCCTCGAAAATTAAAGGAATTAAATTTTTAAAGCAATCCTCAATTAAGTTCTTTTATTGAAATTTGAAATTTTACATTTTAACTTCATTTTTGAATTATATTAATTAAGTAAGACTGTTTGCCATAATTAAATTGCTATCTTCTCACCTGTACGCCTCGGGAAAGTAGATGATGCTCGCCCAGGGGGAGGACAACGCCAACATGTACAGTACGCACCAAAAACCGGCGAATCCGAGCCAGCACTAAAGGAGATATTCCGAATGAGAGAGAAAGAGAGAGAGAGAGAGAGAGAGAGAGAGAGAGAGATAGAGAGGGAGAGAAACTCACTATGGTACCGCCAGGCGAGAACAGCCGCCTATCCCAATGCGGCGAGGCGAGCTGCACGAAGCGGTTCAGCGCCAAAATTATCGTCAAAATTGCGTAGGCCACGTAAAACGGCGTGGCGAGGACTCCCATAATCTAAAAAATTTAAATTCTACTTTAAAAACCATAAAAATGAATTTTAAATTATCTTGCGATTGTTCGCTACTCCTGAAAGAGGTTGTTAATATTTCGATACCTTTGGCCAAACAGGGCCCCAAGTCGTCTGGAATATCGTGAAAAACCCGGTCACGGTATGCGGAAAGCACTGTATCACATCTGCTACCCCGATGAAGAACATGAACTTGTAGGAGGTCATCCGGATCAGCTCCCGGTCGTTGGCGATTCCCTAAGAGCCCTTAGTACGGTTTTTACCATAAAACTTCATTCTCCCTTTAAAATCGATCATCTCCTTCACCCGACCAAAAAGGCAAAAGTTCCGCATCGTCTGGGGGTCGAACCCGAGTAGCTGAGCTTGAAAGCGAGAGCTTTCCCATTTAGCCACCCCCAAACCTTGGTGGCCAAGTGGTCAGCTAGTTGCCCGCGGCCCAAACGGCCCGAGTTCGACCCCCTCCGCGGTAAAGGTTTTTGCTTTTTGCAGTGCTTTGGTTTTTCTATTTCCGACCTAGCAATTTTCTTAAACCTACAGTAAGTATAAATGAATAGGCGACAGCGCAAACCACTGAGGCAAGTATCATGCATATCCCGACGATGATGTCTGAGGTTTCCGTCCGTTCTGACGCCACCACGACCACCACTTCCGGGTCGATGCTGATCGGGGTGGTTAGTGACATATCTGAAAAGGACTTTTAACGTAATTTTGGACAAAATTTCTCTAGAACCATCCATTCTGACTGTGATTTTCGGAATCTACATGCAAAACTACTAAACTTAGAATTATTTTTGGAAAGCGAGAGAGTGGAGAGACAGCGTGAGAAAGAGGCTGACGCATCGGGCCAGCTATACAAAGCCTTCTAAGCCTCTTTTGTGGGTAACATCTCTAAACTGAGCAATTTCGACTAGGACTTTCGGAATCTGCTTCAGAATTATTTTTGGAAAGCGAGAGAGTGGGAAGACAGCGCGAGAAAGAAAGTACCGCATCGAGCGCGCGCTCTCTTTAGGAGCAAGGCAAAGAGCGAGAGCCAGAGAGAGAGAGAGAGAGAGAGAGAGAGCGCGCGAGAGAGAAAAAGAGAAAATTAGGCTTTTTAATTACCTAATCTTTTCAACCCACCATGTCCTTGAGCAACGAATCGGCAGCACTAGTTGAACGTGCCAAAATCCGATAGACTACCATCTGACGGAATGTGGACCTCAGAAGCTATGGCCCCATCGACGCAAATGCAATTCGACCGGCCGCCCTGTAACGGGGCCCCGTTAATGGATATTGCGTGCTGTTATGTCGATTCAATGGAAGGACGGCGTGGAAACGAGAACTTCCGGTTCCAACGGATCGAGATACTACTCAAAAAGGAGAATTGTTGATTCCAGGAATAGAAGGGTAGTTTGGGGCGAGGTAGGCTTAGGCTTGGCTTAGGTTAGGGTTAGGGTTAGGCTTCAGTTGAGGCTTAAGTTTAGGTTATGCTTAGTCCTGGACTTAAAACTTCCTCCCCATCACCATGGCCTGGTGGCCTAGTGGTGTAGTAGGCGTCCTCCGGGGAATCTAACGAGGGTTCGAACCCGCTCACGATTTTTATTTTTTGCTTTTTCTTCCGAAGGTTCCTCTTTGCTTTCTGAGGACCTTGCATAGCTTTTTACGCTTTAGTTTAACTCCTCTGGTGCGAAATTGCTAAAAAACATCCCTTCGAAAAAATTTCGATTTTTTACCCGAAAGGATAGCCGGTTCCAAAATAAATTGAAAATTCAAACCATATCAAAAATCGTGGAGTAAAGGTAAATTTGGTAAATGGTGTGTTGTCCGAACAAAAACTTTCATTCGCGAAAATTTTTTGGAAATGGTAGTCATAGGTCGGACAAGGGCTCGATGCCCAGCAAGAAAAATTTTTGCGGTGAAGTTTGATGTTGTCGGCGCATCAGTGGAGAAAAAATAATGCGTAAAAAGCTATGCAAGGTCCTCAGAAAGCAAAGAGGAACCTTCGGAAGAAAAAGCAAAAAATAAAAATCGTGAGCGGGTTCGAACCCTCGTTAGATTCCCCGGAGGACGCCTACTACACCACTAGGCCACCAGGCCATGGTGATGGGGAGGCGGGGAAGGCCTATGAAGCTATGGCCGAAAAAATGCGAAATGTATGCAAAAACTTAAAATGCTTATAACTCGGCGTGGTTATCGTATCAGCAGCTGAAAGTTACACCAATCGGTTTGTCTCGTCGAGCTCTATAAGTGTGCAAATTTTCAAATCCGAATTCGATTCCCAGCTGAGACCATCTCCTTGTTAGGCTTAGGCTCAGGTTTAGACTTGGGCTTAGGTTAGGCTTAGAGTTAGGCCTAGGATGCTGTAACAAAGTAACCTCTAAATAGTACCCCCAGAAAATCACGCGCATGTCGAAAATGACCTTTCAAGGCTTCTCGAAAAGTGTGGAGGTTGGGCCGTTTCGAGACCCCCGAATTAAAGATTTCTAGGCGTATAATTATGACTGATCGCTTGACTGCTCCCGGATTTTGCATTCCAGAAGGGAGAGAGACAGCGAGAGACAGAGAGAGAGAGAGAGAGGGAGAGAGGGAGAGAGGGAGAGAGAGAGATAGAGAGAGAGAGAGAGAGAGAGAGAGAGAGAGAGAGAGAGAGAGAGTGAAAGATGGACAGTGCTACTCTCCTATGTTTACAAGAAATTCACCGCTTTTTGCCTCTATCAGCTGCAGGGCTCAAATTACCCCCCTCCCCCCACCCGGAAAACGTTGGCCAGTTTATTTCCGGCCCTTCACTAATTTCCGGCGCCTCCCTACTAGAACCATGCGTATATTAGTGGTTCCTGTACTGCTCCATGTTGTCGTCGCAATTGATATGTCGGCTCAGAATTTGACGCGGTTTCTGGGGATGTCCAGGCCGGAAAATGTTCGGGAATTCTCAGAAATTGTGTATGGAAAGGGGCTGAAGAAGCGGGAGATCCGGAAGCGAGTAGAAGAGTGGGTGGGTGGACAGCCGGAAGAAGTTCAGGTAAGCCTTGAGCGAGAGTGATCGAGAGAGAGAGAGCGAGATAGAGAGAGCGAGAGAGATAGTGGGAGAGGGGTAAAGAAAAAGAGAGCGAGAGAGAAAGAGATATTCTCGTGCTCAAAGGCTAAAATTTACGTTTCTTTTCAGGCAGAATATGCTCGTTTTCTGGTCGAACGTGATTATGTACTATCGATCGCTGATTTTAACGTCAAATCGGAGAAAATGCGCGTAAAGAGGTGCCTTCCGGAAGTGCTGAAGGTTCGATCGATGGGAAATCTGGGGTATTGGGAGAAGGTGCGATGGCTGAAGGTAGGTGTTTCTCTCTCACTCTCTCTCGCTCTCTCTCTCTTGCTCACTCCCTCTCTCTATCTCTTGCTATCTCTCTCTTTCAGCCAATTCACGCGAAATGCGGCAAAGTCCCGACAAAGCTGACCCGGAAATTCATCGAAGAATACGGTCTGGAATACAGCCCATTTGAAATTTACAGGTTTGTAGACGAACCAGAAAAACTGGGCAACTTTAGAATCAACCACCCTGACCTAGAAGCCCCCTGGGTGCAATGGCCAACGATTTCGATGCCGGAGAGGATAGCTTTTATGGATATTATCCAAAAGGTGGGTGCCGCGACGGGTGCGTCAAGCGACCGCAACGCGAGTGCAAGGCAGCCGCGCCAAGTTCAAGCTTGCTCACTCGTTTCCAGGATCAATTCTGGACATCCGGTAAATTTTAGAACATCTCCGAGACAGCGATGAAGGCCGAAATCGATAACTGGTCGCTGAAGTTAGCTCCGAATGTCAAGGTGGGTCTTTGAGTTATTTTTTCATGCTTAAAAAGGTAGAAATACGTTGCAATGCTATGCAAAATCGCTTAGCAAGCTCTGAAAAAGCTAAACGACTAAAAACAATGATTTCAGCGTATGTTCGACACGTGGCATGCAAATTACACGCTTTTCTTGGAGCGCGGGAAGACCGAGGTGTTGGAGGCGTTCGGGAAGGTGGATACGGCGATCGATAAGCTGGTGAATATTAGAAGGGATTTGGAGACGACATTTACGGAGCAGCACGCACAACAATCGGTATATTAGTGAACTCTCTCACTCTCTCACTCTCACTCACTCTCTCTACCTCTCTCTTTTCTTCTTTCTATTCTCTCGCTTTTTCAGGAGATCATGCTGAAACTAACGCGTCGTCAACGTCACCTTCTGAAAGAAATGGCCTGGGAGGAGCTGCGAGACTTGGACGAGTATCCCCTATTCAAATATGGGCTCCCAAAGAACTTGATGAACCCGTTCCGGGGTCTCGACTCGCTTTTGCCTCATTAATAGACATAAACACCATCTTTTCTATTTTTGATAACCATAAATTACAGTAATAACGTTTATTTCCATTTTTTATATATCGTATCGACCCGTAGAAAATTCGTTTGAAACAATAAAGCTTTTAGCTTATTTCGATGCGCGATGCGTTTTCATGTGGCGATGAAGATTTCCGCTTTGCGTGAACCGCATCAGACACATTGGGCAGGCGTACGGTTTTAGACCTGAAAAGAGAGGGCTTAGGCTTGGGCCTGGGCTTGGGCTTATGCTTAGGTTTGGACCTATGCTTATCTTAGGCTTAGGCTTAAACTTAGGCTTGGGCTTCAGCTTGGCTTAGCTTAGGCAGGCTCAGGCTTCGGCTAGACTTGGGCTTATGCTTATCTTAGGCTTAAGCCTGTGCGCCGGTTTATGCTTCGCTTAGGCTTAGGCTTAGGACTAGGCTTAGCTTAGCTTAGGCTTAAGCTTACGCTAGGCTTGGGCTTCGTCTGGACTTACCTGTATGCGTCCTCAAATGCTTTGTAAGCGTAGAACTGTCCGTAAATGCCTTGTCGCAATGTGGGCATGGGTAGGGACGTTCGCCGGTGTGGGTCCTGGAATAGTAATAATTGGAGGAAAACTACAAAAAAAAGCAATAATAGTACTACCTTTTATGAGTGACGAGAGAGCTGCTCTGCGAGAATGGCCTCTGGCAAACCGAGCAGCAGAATGGTTTTTCTCCTGGAAAAAGAGGATTTAGCGTCTTTTTCCCCTAGCTTTTCCTCTCTCTCTCTCTCTCTCTCTCTCTCTCTCTCTCTCTCTCTCTCTCACCTGTATGAACTCGTTTGTGTGCTGTCAAATTTGCCGCCTGGGAAAACGATTTTCCGCAGATCTAAAAACATCAAATTCACTTAATTAGCATATCACTCACATGACATGGAAACGGTTTGGCTGCCTCCTTTCGCGCCGATTTCGCGATCCTTGGTGCTGTCGGCGGGAGAGAAAGCTTCGGGGGGTCGACCTCAGGCTTTGGAAGTCTAAAAATGTATGGATTCCTGTATCATCTCTGCTATAGGAAAAAGACATAGATATAAAAAATGGCTAACCTGTAGGTGAGGGGGGCGGCGGTAAAGCGCGGCGCGGGCAGCGCTGCGGCGGCGGCGGCTGATGAGGTGAGGCTGGCGAGCTGGACGCTGGGTGCTGAAAAAAATCAAAGTCGTCGTAAGGCTTCCACAATGATCGCTGCTAGCTTGCCCTGCCTTCCTCAATGATCTTTGCTAGCCTGCTCTCACTTCCTCAACGATCTCTGCTAGCCTGCCCTCACTTCCTCAATGATCTCTGCTAGCCTGCTCGATTTCAGTCATTTTTACTCTTCCCCATTCCTCACCAGTCGCATTGATAGGCAATTGCAGTGTTTGGGATAGATGTGGATGAGTAATCCGCGCGTGCGGCTGCGTGGCGGCCATTTGGCCGGCGGCCTGAGCCATTCCAGACATCGTCATTTGGGTAGCCGTAGCATGAGTGAAGGGTACGGTAGCCATCGTCGGCCATCCTCCGGTTGTCGCCCGGCTCCAGTCCGGTCGCCATCCGTATGGGATTCTGGAAAGTAAAAATGGCGGCAGTTAAAGGTATAGATAGCCATAAAAAGTTCGGCTTCTTCCAATTCCAATTCTTCCCCCAATGGTCTTTGCTAGCTTGTCTGCTTCTAGTTTGCGTTTTTAAAGGAACGATGAAGCCTTGTCAAGTTTATTTTCAGCGTAATTTCCTCAAAAATCTCTGCTATTTTGCCTCTTACAAATATTACAAAGTCATGCGACTTCTTTCCGAGACTATGTTCAGCCAGAATTCCCCAAAAACCTCTGCTAGCCTACCATTAAAGGTACAGGGAAGCCAAAAAAAATTAGCGGCGAATTTTATTTGTTCTAACTTTCCTAAAGAATCTCTGCTAGCCTGCCAGTATTACGATAAAAAGATGGTAAAATCCGAAAAAATTACATAGAAATCCGTTTCCGACTTTTACGCCGAAATTCCCAAGTGAGGTCTGCTAGCCTGCCCACTACAGTAAAGGCAATCAAGCAGCGTTTCCTTAGGAAAACCGCTACCAAGACAGAAATAATTGCCAATGACGAGATAAGTCTTCCGCAGCAGCCCTTCTGCCGATTTTCGGGGGCCCTCTGTGACTGGCCCACCCCGTGAAACCCCAAGCCAATTTGAAGCAGCACGGGGTGAAGCCGTTCGGGCGGAAGGAAGGGGAATGATGCCCTACATCTCTATATAACTGCAGATATCATCAGAAGGAGGGGCACAATATTACACGAAAAGAGGGTTTCAGCCGGTTTTGATCTTGGCGGCAGTCGAGTCGGCATTTTAGAATTTTCTCATTGTTCTCTGCCAGCCCGCGCTTCCCCAATGATCTCTGCTAGCCTGCCATCGATTCCTCAATGGTCTCTGCTAGCCTCCCCGCGCTTCCTCAAGGATCTCAGCTAGTGCCCTCCCCTTCCTCAATGATCTCTGCTAGCCTGCCCTAGATTCCTCAATGATATCGGTTAGCCCGCCGGCTTTTCCTCAATGACCTCTGCTACCATGCCCTCACTTCCTCAATCACCTCTGCTAGCTTACCCTCACTTCCTCAATGATCTCTGCCAGCTTTAAGATAAATTCTGAACTTACAATGGCTCTCCCGGCTCAGTAGGGGCTTGATAGAAGTCGTAATGGGTTGAGGTGCCGATTTGCGGTAGATAAGACTCGAAATAATCGCCACGATCCGGCTGGTAGACGTACGACATCGGATTCAGGAGCTGGGATGATTTAAAGTGATCGGAAACGCCAAAGGTTTACAAAAAATGACAGGTCTGTTCGTCCTGAAAACCACACTTTCTCAAATAATCATTGCTAGCCTGCCCAGTCAGCTACACTTTCCTCAATAATCTCTGCTGGGTTGCCTCGGGCTGTAAGATTTCCATAATGTTCACTGCTAGCCTTCCCACTCACTTACAATTTCTCAAATAATCATTGCTTGCCTGCCCAGTCAGCTAGACCTCAATAATCTCTGCAAGCTTGCTTCGATCAACCCTGATTTCCTAAATAATCATTGCTAGCGCGCCCGGTTTTTCGCTTTCTCCAAGAATTTCTGCTAGCTTGTCTCCACGAACCCGCATTCCAATAACAAACCGTCAGCTGCATTTTCCCCAATAATCACTGCTAGCCCCCCTTGGACCTCGATTTTTCTAAGAACTTCTGCTAGCTTGCCTCCGTACGCCTGGTTTCCTCAAGAATCGCTGCTATCTCGGTTTTCTGAATAAATCCTGCAAGAATGCACGGCCAGCTGTAATTTCCCAAATGAGCAGTGCTTGCCTGCCCCGATAGCTATAATTTCCCTAATGGCCACTGCTAGTCTGTCGCAGCGATCTCAGCTTCCCAAAGAACCCCTGCTAGCTTGCCTCAGCGATCCTGGGTGCCGAAATAAGCCCGGTGGGCCGGCCCAACCAGCTATAAAATTTCCCTAATGACCACTGCTAGTCAGCCCCAGCGATCTCGGTTCCTCAAATAACCTCGGTTAGTCTGCCCAGTGTTCTAAAGTTTCCTGAATAATCCCTGCTAGTTTGCCCAGCTGTAATTTCCCAAATGACCACTGCTAGCCTACCTAATTTCCCCAATAATCACTACTCGATTTCATCGCGTAATCGTACAATCCGATAACAATCCAAAAAACGGAATTAATAGGGAAGTTGCAGAGCTTCTCCCAGCGCTGCTGCGGGGCTTAATATAATCCTATAATGTCCTGAAAAGTCAGTCGAATCCGGGGGAATCCGGTCTAATGGAATCCGGACTATCCGGCTGTGTCCCGGAAAATCAAGGCGGGGAGGCCGACGAAGCCCCAAAATTCGAATTCTAATTAAAATTCGGGCCAGACAGGCTGGTGGGGCGTTTTATGCGGGATGAGTATGTTTACGTATCGAATCGAGGTTGGGTGAAGCCGTAGGTTATACCTTACCTGTCGGGCATGGGATACGGTAGCGGGGCAATCTTTTAATCCGGAGGTGGGGCTTCTTGGGCCTGGGCCCCCGATTGGGCCCCTGGATTGGGCCCCCGGGCTGTGAAATTGGGGACGCATGCCCGGAGGGGGGATTAACGGACCACTGAAGTGACAGCTGCAATCGATGGAACTGGTAATTATTGAGGGTGAGGGCGACTGTATATAACCGTTTATTTGGATTGGTATAATCCCCTTAAGATGGGGGCTTAAATCTCCTTACACCTGAGGACGAGGATCGTTTTGCGGAGCCTGAAAGGTTGCGGCTAGTTTGCCCGGAAAAACCTGCAATTCTGCTAGGATTTGCGCGATTTCCTAAATCATCTCTGCTAGCTTGCGCTTCAAAACACGAAATTCCCCAAGGTTCTCTGCCAGCTTGCCCTGCAAAATATGACATTCCGCAAAGAATCACTGCTAGTTTGCCCTTAATTGGGAGTAATTACCTAAAGAATATCTGCTAGCTTGCCCCCCAAGATGTCTAATTCCACAAGGTACCTCTGCTTTCTCTCTCTCTCTCTCTCTCTCTCTCTCTCTCTCTCTCTCTTTTTCACTCTCTATCTATTTCACTCTCGCTCGCTCTCTCTGTCTCTCTATCTAACTTTCTTGGAGCTCCAGATAGACCTCTCGGGATCAAAAATATTGTTGTGATGCGGATTTTTGGACTTTTCAGCACGTTTTCCGTATTTTCCGATCTTCCGCCTAATCCAGAGCCCAGCCAGGTCGACCCAAACATTTTGTAGCACCCCGAAAAGTTTGGGGTTTCGGGCGCTGGCTTAGGGCTTCGCGCTCAAAAATCGAGTTGTTGCTCTGAGAATTCATGACAACATGCTTTTTTAAAACCTAAAAAACAACAGGGCAAGATGTTTATTCCATGGTACATATATACGCATTAATAGTCGCCTATTCCATCGATTTCTAGGCCGAAGAATTATTTGCATAGACCGCACTTCTTGGCGCAGAGCTCATGCAGCGGCTTGTCGTAGTTCTCGTCCAG